CTTTCCCCGCAGCCTCCCAGTTCCTATTCTTAAGGTACAGTTAGATAACTGAACGGAATTGCCTGAGTTCTTGGCTCCTAGCCTCTGCTCTGCCCACTAAAGCCCACTGCCCTGTTACCCACATGATTACATTTACATGGGATTTTTTCTGTCTTTGTTCCAGGCAGCTAATCCTGGTTGTTGCCTGGAGGATTTTGTGAGGTGGTATTCCCCTCGGGATTACATCGAAGAGGAAGTGGTTGATGAAAAGGGGAATGTGGTAATTAAGGGTGAGCTGAGCGCCCGAATGAAGATTCCCAGCAACATGTGGGTAGAGGCCTGGGAGACAGCAAAGCCTGTCCCAGCCCGCAGGCAGAAGAGACTCTTTGATGACACTAGAGAAGCAGAGAAGGTAAAAAAACTCTTTGGCTGATGGTAGCCTGCCCTGTGATGCTTGTACTAAACTTAGAGCAGCCTTTATTTCCTCCTTCTGCAAGATGACACTTGACACTAACACTAATGACACTAACATGTCATTACACTGTATTCTTAGAGTTATTAAGCTGTTTTGTAAATAGCCTCTTGTTAAATATTTAATGTCAGACAACAATGTGTTTGAAATATTTGGAGTAATTGGATTCTGTAATGTAACTATACAAGGTGTGTTATTTAGATGGTATTTTGAATTTCTGATAGGTATAACACATTTATCCAAGGTGCGTATATGCATTTTCAAACTAAATGTTAATAAAACTCCATTACTTTTAGTTCCTTGCTTAAGCTTTTGGGACTGCCATCAATCAGTGATGTTTTATGTAATGACTGTCTGTTGAGTCCTCTTAAGCAATAGTGTTACTTCTGCAACATAGGTGCTCATCGCTCCTAGTTAACCTTGTCTTTGGGAAGCAGTTTTGAACATTAATGTGTTAAATTTTCTGATATTATAGGTGCTTCACTATCTTGTAGTTCAGAAACCAGCTGACCTTGCAAGGCATCTTTTGCCTTGCATCATCCATGCTGCTGTACTCAAGGTAAAGGAGGAAGGTAAATAATATTTAATGAATCATTAAATGTTCTAGGATGAACACTGATGAACAGTGATTAAAGCCTTTTTGTTTCTTTTCCTCCTAACAGAAACACTAGATGGTATCTCTTCAGTTAAGAAGATCATTAAGCAGATAATATCCCATTCCAGTAAAGTTCTGCGATTCCCAAATCCAGAGGACAAGAAATTGGAAGTAAGAGTTACTTCCAAGATATCTTAGCTGAAGCTAAAAACACTTGATAGACTTGTACAGTATTCATGAGAGTGCAAATACAATGTCCTTTTTTTTTTTTCTTTTTCCTCCTGTTGTTTAAACTCCTACAGGAAATCATTGCTCAGATCATGAGTGTGGAAGCAATCATTGCCAGGGCCCGGTCTCTGAAAGCAAAATTTGGGGTGGACAAATGTGAAGATGAGCAACAGAGAGAAGATTTACAAAGGTGACTATTTTTCCTTGTTTCTCCTCTTTTTAGGAGTCTCAAAACTTAAGACAGGTGGAAAGAATGGTAATACAGGTCTTACATACATTGGAAAAGATAGTAACGAATCATATTTATTCGATATGAACATAAGGCTACCCCTTCGCAGCTGACTTGAGTGATGTGATCTGTGCCCATCTGACTATATTCTTGAAAATTATACTGACTTTTAAAAGTCATTCCATTTTTATCTAAATGCTTACTATTAATGCATGTAAAAATGCATTTGCTAAACCTTGTTAGTTTTTAGTTACAATTAGAAGGGCTAGAAATTTAATATTTTCCATCATTAATATGGAAGTGCTGAAAGCTCAGCTTTTCTTGTCTTCTAGTCTCCTTAGTAATTTGAAATCTTTTGCAGAGGAACTATATAAATGAAAAGTGACTAGCCATGTTTCCCTGCTTCACTATCTGCTATGAGATTATTTACCTATTGCTTAAACAAGATAATAGTAACACGCCAAATAAACTGGTTGACTTCTTGTTGCTGTGAGGAAAGATGACTTTTTCTGCTGTTAATGCTTGAATACTGGAGGAGTTCTGTCTGACCAATGCAATATCTTTGTGGTCATGTCTGAATTGGGCACCTGAAATTAGGAGCTTCAGCTGCATTTATAGCTGAGAGAAGCAGGTCCTTTCAGAAGCTGGCTTGCAGCCTCGGTGCTCTCTAGCCTGTGCTGCTGGGGATATGGTGTGAGCAGTTGTACAAGCTGCCTTTCCTCATCTTATTTGGGAGGATACTCTGTTCAGGTTTGTTATAACCTATCCAAAAAAACCATCTTATGTTAGTGTGAAAGATCAGCAACAAGGAAGGAAGGAGCAACTGAAGGCTGAACGTCTTTAGGCTAGAGGGAAGTCAATAAAGAAAGGAAAAAGCAATGATAGTAGTGGGAAGCTGGGAGAGGTCATTTTATTCTGTTAAATTTCTGGACTTGAGAACTGCCAGTTCTGCATTCTGTGTGAAGAATGCTGTGAGGAGATCTCTGGGAGTCTTCCTAGGAAACACTTCCATTTTGTTAGATGAGGAAAAAGGGGTATAGCCGAGAACATTCAGTATGCAGAACTTCAGCATTCATTTGGTTTAGCCAAGAAATTCAGCATTCATTCCTTCCTTTCTAATAACTTGTGCCATCAGATTTGTCAACTCTCTCCTGGAGCAGCCAGAAGTGGCAGTTGTTGGTGCAGGAAGAGGACCTGCTGGGAGCATCATCCATAAGCTGTTTGTGAACGCTCAGAGAGTAAGCTGGAGTTCTTGGCCATTTTTACTAATTTAAACAGTATGAGGCAATAACTTATCTGATACCAGTATACTTTCCATGTTTTTTTTTTTTTTTTTTTACAAACGTGCTTGTGTTCTTCATAATGTTCCAAGTGATTTTGGCAATAACAGAACTTTGCAAGAAAAAAGAAGATTAGATGATCAGGGTCACACAATATTGGCAGCAGCTTAGTAGATAGAGGTGTCCTTAATATTTGATTTCCTTCAAACATTGACATCAACAGTGCTGTTATAGCACAAAAACTTGTGAGTTCTTCAACTTGTAGAATATATACAACAGTACAGCAAGAACGAAGAGAGTGTGCTGATTCTTTCACATAGGTATGTAGAGGAACACATTTTAATATGAAATATTATAGATGGGTAACTCTAGACTGAGATTTATACTTAGAACACTTGACACAACACTTTTGCTCTGGAAACTGTTTAGGAAGAGTTTCATTTCTAAACTTGTGCTTCATAGTTTGCAGCTCAACATAAAAAGGACCATTCTAAACAACAGATCACAGTTATTCTGAGAAGTAGAGAATTAGAACATTTGTTGTGTCTTTACGAGAACTTGAGTTTCTAGGAAAATCCAGTTGCAAAACTCAACATGTAAAACAGCCTTAACTACAGACTTTTCTATAAAGATTAACACCATATAACACTTTGAGTGTGTGCACTTGTGTTTTTAATGGAGTTTTATGCTTTCAATGTCAAAATTTTTAATGGTAATCTTTGATAAAAATGTACAGAACTGTACATAAATAGTTTTATTTCTTTTGGAACAGCAATTAGTAAAGCTAGGCTATAGACTCCTCCTATTAGTCACTTAAGAAAGACTTAAGGGCACAGAGGTTACAAGGCCCCTTTTTGTGTTTAGTTTGTCAATAATTATTTTAGCAGAAAGCAGCACAATAAAAAGATATTGAATGGCATCCTTGTTCCTTACCTTTTGAACCTGGGCTCTTTTATATAGGTTATATAAAAATGCATTGTTTTGTTCTCGAAGTTTCTCATGAAAGACTATGACAGCACACGCATGTTCTTGGAACTAGAGTGCATGATGTCTCTTAAACCTACAGCCCCTGTCTAACCTCTTGTAAGTCACCTCTGACTGCCTGTTTCTATCTTTCATCACTGGTTCTTTTCTCATCCCTTTTCAAGCTGACTGAATCTTCTGATGAGGTAACCAACTTTGTCCCTCGTTTCCCACTCATCTTCCCTAGTTGCATAGAGTCAAACCTTTTGGTAGATACTGTACAACACCGTGATTTGGTTTGTACTGTTAATCCACATATTAAGCATAAAAATAATGTTGCGTTTCTGGATTGGTTTCTCTTCATTCATAGAACTTCCTTTAGAGCCTAACGTGATGAAAAGAAACAGAGAAATCATGAAAATAAAACAATTAAACATTTATTAAAGTCAATGTTAGATGCCTAATGCTAGAATATGTGGCCTTACCTTTTTTTTTGCTCTCTGTTGCAACCAGTATTTTTTATTTGTACTTTGCAATCCAAAGGCCACCAAAACTATTATCAACACCTATTAGGGTCACTAAACCTTTTGGACAAAAATCCAGAGGGGTCTTTTGACAGGGATAACTAGGGTAATTGTGAGAAGCAACACAAGGACTATCCTCTGTAGGTTTCCTAGGCCTATTCTTGGTACAATGGCTAGCAATTGTCCTTGGTGATCTGTGCCGTGTAGGCGATAAAGACACCAGCCTTGAGAGAAGGGCAGGTGTGAGAATTGGCCTGAGGCTATTGGTACCTATCCATAATTGGAAAATATTAGGGAGCTGACTGAAGAGCAGTAGCTCCTTTGCAGTTCTCAGGCAGAGCTGTTGCTGCTGTATCAGTAAGGGTTGATGAAACTGGAACTGTTTCATTTCCTCAGTGATGCTGATCTTGGCAGGCTTCTCCTTGCCCATGAAAAAGCAGTTATCAATCAGTATCTTTGGTTTGAAAAAGCAGGTGACTTTTTGCCAAGACTGCAGTAGGGGTACTGATTATATTTTAAAAGAGCCTGACTCATTTAGACAATTGGGTAGCCACAAAGAGAGAACCCTGCCTCAGAGGAGGAGTATTTTTGTCTCCTCAAAACCCTGGCTTCACACTGTTAAAAATAGGAAGCTTAAATTTGGCTGGGCTTACCCTCTACAGCTGAAGGCCCTTGCATTTCATTGTGCAGTTTATTTCTTGACATCCCATTACTGTCTTGCTCTGTGTCTTGCTCTGTATACACAAAGCATTTGGATGTGTTCACCATTTCTAGTCCTGCCCCTGGCTCCAGCCCTTATGATGTATTTCCTGGCTCTTAATGTCAAGAAACAGCTCATCTTGCAGTTTATACCTGTGCTTTTATTTAAGGCTTCTGCAATGACCTCGCTTGATGAAGAAGCGAGGCGCTCAGGCTCGCCAGACGAGCGCCGCCTCAGTGCAGGAGCCGTTTCGGACTTCCCGCCGCCCACGGGCCGGGAGGTGATTTTACGTGCGACTGTCCCGCGCCCGGCCCCGTACTCCAAGGCGCTGCCCCAGCGCATGTACAGCGTGCTGACCAGAGAGGACTTCCGCCTCGCAGGGGCCTTTTCAGCAGATACAACGTTCTTCTGAGGGAGCGAGCTGTGTCTTGTGTGTGTTCACAAGTAGGAAGTTATCTCTTTTAACTTCCCTGAAGGAAATGTTAGAGACTGATGCAGCTTGTAGTGAGGAGAAAACACAGTTGTCTGTCATTGGTAACTGAGAATAATATTCCCAACGATAGAGTGGAATTGGCATTTAAGAAGGATGGCTGTATCAACCTTAACTGGGATGCTTAAAATAACTTCAGAAGGGGTTTTAATCAGACTTTAGGGGAAGAAAGTCCAATTTTCTTCCTGTGAACAGAGGGGAAAATTTCTTTTGCATTAGCTTGTTAAATAACAGACATTAATGGGCTTTATGCAAATAGTTCATGTTCAAATTTATGCAGATATGCTGCTGTAGTTCCTAATCACCTTTATATGTTGTTAAGTCTACTTGACATGTAAACATTAATAATATGTATTTATTGCTATCACGTGAATATCGAGCTTTTGTTTTTCTGGTTAATCATTAAGTGGCAACTTATTTTTAAAAATCTTGATCTTGTTTAACATATACAGTAAATTCTAACTTAGGCTAAGCTTCTCCTAGTGCAACAGTTATTCAAAAACCTCTTGTATGTCTTGGACACTCCTCCCAAACACTGAGGTAAGTGTATTTTTCAGCTGTAATTGGGTACTAAGCCTAATATGCAAATAGCCTTAAGTGAGCACTAACTATTTTGGATACTTTATATCCTCCCCTGCATGCAATGGCCAAAGCTGTATGTAAATGATGTGTACAGAGGTGTTTTGCTTTAAGTTACTGATATTTATATAGACCTTTTGAAATGTGTATTATGTCTTTGATCTCTTAAACACATGATAAAACAGTTCCATGACATACTGTAAGCTAAGCCCACTGATTATCATGCAACCAGTATGACTTATGTGCCAACATTGCTTCACAGGGGTCATGGTGTGCTTTTGTCAGCAAAAGATCAGAGTTACTGTGCAGACTGAAATGTAAGAGTAACTACAGTAAAAATAAATAAATCTAAACTTACGATTGGCTGTCAGACTGCTGTTACTGGTAAGGGTGTCTCAAAATACCTTTCAAATGTCATACTTGTATAACTTTAGGAACAAAATTGCTTGTGCCAACAATATTTAATATAGAAGGTTAAGTTTTAATGCTC